TCCTTAGTATAATTATCGTATAATATACCCTAAAAACCAATTCTAATTATTAACGCCCCTACATCAAGTCTTTCTTGGGGCCGCTTGGGCGGTGGCCCGGCTCCTACCGATTCTACCGGAGCAGGACGTGGACCACAAGGCTGGTGATGCTCCGATAACCACTGTAGGGCTAAGGCTAAGGCCAAAATCCCTGCACCCTAAACCCTAACACCCTAAACCCTGAACCCTAACCCTAAACCCTAAACCCTGAACCCTAAACCCTAAACCCTAAACCCTGTCGAAACTCTTACCGGTTATTGGAGCCCCAACAGCAGCGACCCCGGGGCCCAACGCGCTGTCCATCCATCGCCGTCTTCACCGCCATCGCCGAAGACATGGAGGTCCTGAGCGCTGCTTCTAAGGGTTTAGGGTTTAGGGTTTTTTTTTTAGGGTTTAGGGAGACATGGAGGTCCTGAGCGTTGCTTTGGGTTTAGGGTTTAGGGTTTAGGGTTTAGGGAGACATGGAGGTCCTGAGCGCTGCTTTAAAGGGCATCGAAAGGGGCTCTACAGGGCTCTAAGGGCTCCTCCAAGGTTTGGTTGGAGGATTTAGGGTTTATGTTCGGAGGCTTCTGGCCTTCCTTCTTATCGCTCCTCTGCGGTGCTTTTGTGAAGGATGCCAGAGGGCTTATGAGGGTCCCCCCTCTCGATTACCCCTGACATGTGGGTAGAGTCGGTCGCATTGGGGCTTAGGGTGTCTATAGGGCTGATGGGTCAGCTTAGGGCTTCATCAGCATGTTCCAGGGCAGCACTGCAGGAGTTATGGTTTCCAACTTACAGGGTTTACTTGCTCGAGGGTGTCGGGTTGTAGTTGGCTCTGGTGTGTCTCAGACTCATCGTCGTCGGCACTTGATGTTTGGGCTCTGTAAGCTACCGCTTCAAGAGCTCAGGGCTTAGGGCAGCATCGTCATCATCATCCCTGCGGATTCTTCTTGGTGCTTCCAGCTTGCATGTCGCATTCATTTCCCCCCCCCCCCATCCTCAGATTTCTTTGATAAGCTCTAAACTCCCCAACCCTTTTTGCACAGACTTGTACTAAACCCAAAACCCTAAACGCCAAACCTCAAACCCAGAAACCCTTTAGCCCTCTCTGCGGCTGCAAGGGTTGAGCACGTGCTGCTCTACCTCAACCCCAGAGAAGCTGCCATTTTTGGACTTATATAAAAAACTACAATCAGGAGCCCTAAAAAGGTAGGTTTTTTTTTGGACTTATATAAAGAAACTATAATAACCAGCCCTAAAAAGGTAGGTTATTTAGGGTTCAGGTAGTAACTAAGGAAGCCAGGCCCCGCCCAATGCAGGTTCGAGGGTCTAAGGGCTTGGTTGGGGCTTCTTCTCGACCTCGAGATCACGGAATATAGGGGCCTCATAAGTGCATGCGGTATACTCTAGTATAGAAGTATAGAACTACAGAGAGATGGGTGCATACCACTCCTGCACATTCCGCCCTCTATGTTGTGCATGTTTGGGCTTAGAGAATTCTCATGCTGTCGAAAAGCTTGCCCACACCACCTTTGCCACCGAACAGCGTCACCTGCGGTTGGGACCGTGACGTAAGGGATGGGTCAGGCTTCGCCTGCAACAGAGGGTCCCAAGGAGTCACTGCGGTAGCTACTTGATCCAGATAGCTCTGGGGTTCTCTATGAGGTAATAAGGTAATACTGTTGATGATCTAAATCCTGCATTACCTTACCTTAAGGATCCTAAACTATGAGGATTAGGGCATATTCCAAATTATGGGTATTCCAGGATTTGTATCATCAACCGTAGTAGTTCGTAGCCTTATTGACATCCATCGACCCTCGTCGACAATACCTCGCTTTCTGAAACCCTAGACCCTAAACCCCAAACCCTAAACCCTAAACCCCTAAACCCTAAACCCCTAAACCCTAAACCCTAAACCGTGGCTCATATATGGGTTTCTATGCAGAACTGATGCACGCACCCATGTCACGGTTCCCCTAAGCCCTCGGGAACGAAGGGCTCCCGCCTCAGGATGACCTCTGAACCCGGTTTAGGCTTTACTGTAGGGTATAAAGTTTAGGGTTTATTGTAGGTATAGGCCGGTATAGGGTTTAGGGTTTAGGGTGTATTGTAGGGTGTCGGGTTTAGGGTTTATTGTAGAGTGTCGGGTTTAGGGTTTATTGTAGGGTATCGGGTTAAGGCTTTAGGGTTTAACACCAGGCCCGAAACGGTTCCTCACCATGGCGTCCCCTCCCAAAGCAATCTGGGATTCTGCCTTCTCGGTTTTTTCGAATGCCTGGGTTGAGCTGATGTTGGGGAGTCAGGACCACCATTGCCTGGCGGAACCCCCATAATGGCTCAAATCAGGAAGCATGAAGGGAATGAGACTCTGTAGTGCAGAGTTTCAGGGCAGTGATTGTTACTGCATGAAGCCCGACGGAAAAATTATAAAAAGAAATTCAAAGGCTCCTAAACCCTGAACCCCTAACCACTTAAATCGGAGGCGCCTGCGTTTTGGGCAAGGCGGAAGCATCCCCGAAAGCCAGCGATGCCTCTGTTCAATCTTCACATGGGCTCGGGGCTCTTGAGCTGTTTGGGATGGGTTCGGGTTTAATCTAGGGGCCTGAATAATGACCTGGGGGCTCCTTATTATGATTACAGTATAAAATACCCCAAGACCCCATTCTAACCATTAAGGCTCCTAAGTTAGTAACCCTGAACCCTAAACCCTTTTTTGAAAACCCTAAACCCTAAGGTAGTGTCTTTCTGGTCGCGCAATTCCGTGGGCCTCTACAGGCCAATCCTTTGCTCGAAGCTGCCTAACGGTCAGTCAATAATAATAAAGGCTGGAGGCATATGGGTAGTTCTCTAACTTAGGGTCCCTTTTAGGGCCCTGTTTACAAGGGTGCCGTACTATATTGGGGACCTAAAAAGGAACCCTAATTTAGAGAACTACCCATACGGCTGAAGAACCCCTCGAAACTGGAGATCTCTGAGAACAGGCAGCCTCGTAACCACAGTCTGGTTGTTACTACTTCCTTGATGGGTTTCATCTCCACTCGGGGCAAGTGCAGACACCGCTTGGCTCTCCAAGTCCAAAGCAACCCAACTCCGCGGCCAAGCTCTTTCCGGGTTTGGCGTTAGCCATACTCCATTGTGCAACAAGGCCCAGCCTAAACCCTAAAACACTACACCCTAAACCCCTTGAAGAGCCCCCGCAAGGACAGTGAGCTTCCAAATCCTCAAACTTGTAAGCCTCACCAAGAAAGCCGCGACCCGAACCCCAACAGAACAGCGCAGGGTTTAGGTTTAGGGCTTGGGGTTTGGATCTACATGCGTACCACACTGTCGAGTTTAGGGATGCACAACAGTCCCACTCCCAGCCCTTACGGCTTGCAATCTGACTGTCATCTTGGAGCACTGCCTAACAATTGACTCGTAAAGCTTGCAATATACTAAGCCCTGAACCTGAATACCACACCCTAGACCGTTACCCCATATTGAACATCAAGCCCTAAAGTACTGAAAATGAAGGCCTGAACTGTAGTCCCTAACGCTAAACCTTTTCAAACCGGAAGCCCTGAAACCTACAGACTCTAAGCCCTAAAACCCCTAGACCCTAAAACCCTAAACCCTAAACCCTAAACCCTAAAACCCTAAGCCCTAAACCCCTAGACCCTAAAACCATAAACCCTAAACCC